AAAAACAACAACAAACAAAAACCAGCATTGATAGGAGTGTAGCAAAGGGACACAGGAGCCTTTGGAAAGAGAACCCAAGGGCCAAAGCTGAACCAACAAAATAGAATGTTGGTTTATAACCAAAGTATAAAATAAATTTCCATGAGTCCACACTGATACAAATAAGATGATTGGATAAATTAATAAGTAGGGAAGAAGAGACAAATCTCCTGTGAAAAAAGAATTCCAGATAGCTTACGTAGATATTCCACTCTCAAGGACAGGGAGCCTAACTTCCCACTTCTCAGGTGTGGGCAGTGACTATGACTTCCTTCCAAAGAAGTCAGTATGGAAACAGAGAAGAAAGAGTTAAGTTCACAGAGGAGAAACCTAACACCCATTACTTCAGCCAGATGACCAAGGTCATCACCTATAAATAAATCCTGGCTATCCCCTTGAAATGATGTGATGGAAATGGCACTTGCCTGTATGGTCTTTCTCTCCCAACCCATAAACCGGTCTACTCATGAGAAAAACATCATACAAGTTCCAACAGAGGAACATCCTACCATACAGATGACCAATACTCCTCAAAACAGTCAGGATCATAAAAAACAAAGATAGTCTGAGAAATTGTCACAGTGACAGGAGCCCAAGGAGACATGACAACTAAGTGTGATAGGGAATCCTCCATGGGACCCAGGAACAGAAAAAGGACATCAGTAAAATGTAAAAATCTGGATAAACTATAGATAGTAGTTATTAATAACAAACCAATACTCATTCATTAATTATAACAAATATATCCCACTAATACCAGATATTAATAATAGGGAAAGCCATGTTCAGGGGTAGAGAGTAAAATCTGTATCAGTAAAGGCCTGTGTCACAACCATATCCTGTCACCAGGAGGTGCATGGAGTACCTCTTGCGGGCTGGGACTATCGGGCTGGTGGGGCCCGTGGCTCTCACAGGGTGGGTCTGGGGTCCTGCCTGCATGGCAGGTCTGGGTCTCACATGATTTCACGCTCTGGGCCTCTAGTTTTTCTATAAACCTAAAACTATGCTAAAAAATAAAGTCTTAAAAGAATTATCTGAAAGTTAAAGATTAAAGAAGTCAGAGACTCTCTTTCCTGCTGCCCTTGAGAAACCAAACTTTCTGACTCCTACAGCTGCCAGGAAATGAATTCTGACATTAGATCTTGGGAGAGAACCTAGCCTCAGATGATACCCCGGCCCCAGCTGAGGCCTTGATTATAGTTCTCTGAGCAGAGAACACAGTCAAGCTGTGCTTAGAATTCTGATCCATAGAGATTTTGAGATAATAAATGTTTGTTTTAAGCTGATAAAAAAAAATCAACTAAGAACAAAACAGTAACAAACGATTCAGAAAGTAGTGAGTGTGCCGCAGAAATTTAAATGGAGATGTCACTAGTGACTGGACGGCTTCATGGAGTTAGTGGTCAAGGAAACCTTCTCTGAATCCTAGGAGGAACCTTGCCCTGAGATGCTGGTTGGAAAACACTGTAGGCAAAGGGGCCTGCCAGCTCCGTCTGGTGCCTTGACTTAACATTCGGTGTTCCAGGTTACAAAGGCAGTCCATGGGTGGAGTGACATGAGTGTAGGGGAAGGAACAGGAAAAAGGGTGAGAAAATGAACTGGATTGCACAGGGCTTCTGCCATAGACTACATGTTTGTGTGCCTCCAAATTCCTATGGTGATGGTCTTAGGAGCAACCTTTGGGAGGTGCTCAGATCAGGAGGGTAAAACCCTCAGGAATGGAATCGGTGCCCTTATAAAAGAAACCCCAGAGAGCTCCCTCACTCCTTCCTCCATGAAAGGACACAGCAAGGTGTCATCTATGAACCAAAAAAGCAGGTTTTCAACAGACAATGAATGGTTCAGTGCTTTGACCTTGGACTTCCCAGCCTCCAAAACAGTGAGAAATAGTTGCATATTGTTTATAAACACCCAGTCTATGGTATTTTATCATAGCAGCCCAAGTGGACTAAGACAGCTTCCAAAGAAGAGAAAGGAATTTGGATTTTAAATTCAACTGGAAACCTTTGGCACACCAGTAGCTGATGAGTGACATATCTGCTTTATCGATTCTTTAAAAAAAAAAAAAAATGATGCTAACTGCTCTGTGAAGGACTGGTTGCTGGGTGGCAGAATGGAGTCGGTGTCTAGATAGGGAGTTCCAGCCTAGACAAGGGCTTAGTCCAGGCTTAGTCCAGGCGGCGGCAGAGATAATGGATGTCTCCCAAGAGCCTGGGTGGAAGGATGGGGAGGACATGCGCTGGATGCTCACAGTCATCTTGTAGATCTATGTGCATGAGGTGGCTCTGAGGCTCACCCCTCTCCCCCTCCCAGTGGATCACAAGTAATCGTAGCAGTCATACACTGCCTAGCCAGGCTGTCTTTCCCCCGTGTCATCCTACTCCTGCGCTGACTACCACTGATGATTCATTGAGACACTTGTTCCTGGCAGTTGCTGGCACCGGAATGGTGCTGTGCCAGTTTGGGCTAGATTCTCCCCCAGAGCCCTTGCCAAAGGGAAACTGGATCCCACCCACCACCCCCAGCCTCCTGGCTCAACAAAGCTGCCCTAGTTAATTAATTGCCTCCTCTGGGTTGAGTGTAAATTAAACAATTTGTTGCTGCTTATTTCACAAGGTGTGGGGTGCCCTCTCTTTAGCCCAGGGAAAAAGTTAAATGTGGAGCAAAGAAGCGCTCAGCGTGGGCCCTCTTCCTTCACATCCGAACAGGTTGTGAGGAGAGTTCTTCCGTTTTCATTTTGGCCCTAGTCGGTTCACCCAAAGTCCATCTCAAGTCCACCTTCGGACTCTTGACTTCAAACTTACCTTTCCACTCTTGCTAACCCCTCCTTTTGCACCTGCTAACCAGGACTGGCCAGCTCCCAAACACAGCTGAGGTTGGTCCCCACCAGCTGGTCTCACCTGTCGCCCAGTCTAACTCTTGGGCACCTGTCTGTGCTCAGTTACAGGTGCCTGGAATCCAATCTGGGTGCAAGCTCGGCTGTGTGCCTTACCTCACTTTGCCATACAAACTATAGTTTGAGTGGCTGACTGCTTTGTTGTGTCCATGAGAAGCTGTCACAGATGGCCAACTCGCCAATTTAATCCACAGATCAACCTAGAAGGTCAACTCTTGGAGGGCAAGGACTGGTCAGGTTTAGGAAGGGTTGGTACTGAAACATCTCTTTTTGACACAGGGTTTTTATGGATCAAGGCTTCATTTTTGGGTCAACACATCCGCCTCTCAGTGTAGCTCCCCCTGCTGGGCAGGTGAGGGGAAGCACAGCTTCTGCTTCTGAGTAGCTCCTCCCTATATCCTAACAAAGCCCACAGATGGGCTCAGCAGATGGTAGCTGCTCTGGGCTCTGAGCTCCCTGGGCTCTCTGCAAGGACCCTAATGTTCCCTCTCTGTCTCCAGAAGCTGACTTCAGCAGCTCAGAAGTGACTTAGCACCTGGGCAGAAGTGAGCCACATGCCTAGCCTGGAGAGAGGGGGAGCAGAAGATGTGTGCAGAGAGCTGGAGGAAGAGGCGATGAGAGAGTGTCAGCTCAAAGAGCTCCCATTTCTATTCCTGCTCAGCCCAAGGCCTGTTTGCTCAGCTCTTCTCAGATTCCTGGGAGACCCTCCAAGTCCTAGAGAAGCCCCGTGTTACTGAAGCCATCTTTGTAAAACCAAGAGTCTTAGCAAGAACACTCTACAAACAGAGCTCATCCACTCTACCTTGGGTCCACGCAAGATTTTGACTGGAAGTGGAAACCAAAGGATTCAGCAGCTGCTAAAACAGAGTTTGAAAACCAGGTTCCCCCTGGCTTCACTGAGGAGGATACCGAAGCACGGAAAAGGTCAGCATGGCTGGTTTGTGGGAACTCAGGAGGAGGGGTGTGGGAATCTCTAGAGAGAGTCACTTGGACCCTCCCTCCACTAGCCTCTGCCATAACTGCAGGTGTGCCCAACAGGCAGGTCCCAGGATGAGTCTTGTCATCCTCCTCTTCTCACAGCTCTTTGCTTACTGCCCCAGAGATCTGTGCATATCTAGATGGACAGCCACCTCCTTTCCCCAGCTGGCCTGCCCCTCGCCTCCCTCCTCTGCTCAGACTCCAGAGCCAGGCATTCACCACAGGGACCTGGGCTGGGCAGACGCACATGGAGCCCACAGTCTTACTGACATTTGTTTCCATTGGTAGAACTCATTTTCCTTTCTTCCCATAAACACTTCTAATTCCCTCAATCCAAGCCCCAGTCCCTTCTTCATGGCTCTGCTATTCGCCAATGCACTCTTCCCTGCAGGCAGACTGTGATGGGCACACCCAATGCTTCGCTTTGCTTTTATCTGAGACTCATACCAGGGGACCAAAGAGCATGTTTTAGCTCTTCAGGGAGAAAAGAGGCACCTGTGACTATGGATTAGCATTCACTTCCCATGGACTGCACAGTCACACGGTTCATCAACAATCCCTTCCTAAGGACTGGATTGGTCCTTGGCTCTGGCAGTCAGAGGGAAAGGAGACAGGCACGAGGGCAGGTGTGCCCTGTCCTGCCCCATTTGAAGCGTCTCATTTGGAAATAGGAGCAGCATTTAGGAAGCATAAGTCAAGGGTGAAGCTTTTAAAGGAGAAACTGCCAGATAGCACCTGCTTCCCACCCTGAAGTCTAGTGTGTATATAAAATGCCCAAGGAACTCCAGGATTCATGTTCACTCTGAGTCTGATATGCCCCCCCTCAGTGCCACAGCTGCACAGTCCCCCACATCAGGCAGTCAGACCCCCGAGGGGAAGGACCACACCTTATTAGTCTCATTAGCCTCTGCATCCCAGCAGCAAGTGCAGGGATGTGTGGTTAAGAATTCACAAAGTGATAAATGAATAAATGAATGGGTAGAGCCCCACAGAGTTGTGGCTTTCATCTGCTGTGCGCTTAGCTGTTCTTCCAGAATCCTAGTCACCAGGACCTTTTCCCCTCAGGCCCTGTAAGCCTGCGCCTTACCTCCCATGAGGAAGAGAAGCCCGGCCACGTACTGCATAAGGCCTCGGTCCCAGCAGCAGCCCAGCACGCCGATGATCCAGCCAAAGAGGATGATGGCCACCGCCATGCCCATGAAGCCGGCTGTCATCCTGCGCAGGTCTGTGAGAAAGCAGGACAGGGGTTAGCATCAGAGCCCAGGACTCAGGGTCAGAGTGCCCCCAAGCCCAAGCAGAGGGGTAGGGGGCACTGCGTGGGGAAGGAAGGACCCTGCCTTTCCAGACAGGTTTGCACATAAATCCATTTGTGTGCTGCATTGTGGGCACATGGATACAGGGAGAAGCCATCATCATAGCAGTTGACACGTGCATGCTTCCTTTGCACCAGGCACGATGCTATGCTTCCAGCGTCTCTAACAACCTTCTGAGCCAGGTACTGTCTTACCCCTGTTGGAAGATGGAGCAACTTGCTTCACGCCATATATACCTAGTGAGTCGTGGATTAGGGCATCCAACCCACATTGGTAAGGCTCCCAGATCCTAACCTCAGCATCATTCACCTCTGGGATTTGCTGTTTCTGCCAGGAGGTCCTGTGTAAGGATGATGCTGCCTGCAGCTGCTATTTCCTTCCCTCCAAACGACTCCCAGGGCTCAGCTTTCTTGCATGTGGGGCTACAGGCTGCGGAGCCACACCTGCTGCTCAGAGACTGAGCTCAGAGCAGACCCTCTCAGTCCGGCTCCACACCCAGATCAGTCCAGCTTCTGGACCAAGCCCATCCCCGCTCCATGTCCATCAAAGCCTGGGTGGGTGCAGGGAAGAGGAGGGCTGTCTGGGAAGGAGGTATTTTTAGTGGCAGGAAGAGGGCAGAGCTGCTATCCACCTTAGTGAGCCCCACTCAGCCTCTCTGTCAGCTCAACTTCCTCCTGGCTCATCCCTGCCCACCAATGCATACCCCACCCCACCCCTCTCCCTGGAATCCAACCCTCTAATACCTCAGCCTGGGTGACACCCACCCATTTGTCATGGATTCCTTCCACCCAGCCCCAGCACCTCCGCCTGCAACTCCGTGTCCTCCTGTGCTGTCCATCCACCTATATGTAGGTCTATCCACTAGCCCCCATCCTTCCGATGAGACTCCAAACAGGAGTGAAGCCATTGCCAGAGCCTCTGGCCCTGAGGACATTGCCAGAAAAGCCTAGAGGACCCCTGGGCATTGCCCTCCCCCAGAGGAAGAGAGGGAGAGTGAGGGGGCAGGGCAGGGAGCATGATGGGAAACTACATCAAGCCCCTGCTAGTACAGACACTCTCATCCCCGGGAACCAATGCCCCCACGTTTCCATGGGGAACACCTTGGGATCTGCATACCTCATGAAGGCATCCCATCCTCTCTGTTCCCATCTCACTCCAGCCACCCCATTGGGAGCCACGGCAGATCCTGGGAGTCAGGCTTGACACCTTTCAGTCCTCTGCCCCCAGGAGAGGGATTTGGTCCATGTTCTCATGCTGACACTGAAGATCAGCCCTGGAGGAAACTGGTTGGGAAGTGGGAAGGGAGTTAGGAGACAGCAGCTGAGCTTGGCCTGTGAGGAGGGGCCTGGACAGGGAACAGGACGGACCGGGGCATTGTCACAAAGATACAAGTCCACCAGGAAGCAAGCTTCCGCTCTACTGAGGTCTCCCTTGTCCTCCCTACTGAGGAGGGCCTGCCCAGGCCAAATATAATACTCATCATAGGCAACTCATCATGAGCTGCCAAGGACGGTTGATTTTCATGCCCATGGGAATGAGGCAAAAAATGAGCCTCTGGGCATGGGGCAGGTTGATTTGCAGCTTCCTGGCTATGGGCTTTGGGTTTGGTTCTGAGTCTGCTAAGTCAGTCACATTGTCCATCAGCCTCCCGCCCCCTCTCCCCCACTCTCTCTGCCTTTTTTTATTGTTTGTTTGTTAATCCTCACCTGAGGATATTCTTTCCATTGGTTTTTCAGGGAGAGTGGAAGGGATGGAGGGGGAGATAGAAAGAGAAAGGAAGAGGGAGAGGGAGAGGGAGAGGGAGAGGGAGAGGGAGAGGGAGAGAGAGAGGGAGAGGGAGAGGGAGAGGGAGAGGGAGAGGGAGAGGGAGAGGGAGAGGGAGAGGGAGAGGGAGAGGGAGAGGGAGAGGGAGAGGGAGAGGGAGAGGGAGAGGGAGAGGGGGAGGGGGAGGGGGAGGGGGAGGGGGAGGGGGAGGGAGAGGGAGAGGGAGAGGGAGAGGGAGAGGGAGAGGGGAGGGAGAGGGGAGGGAGAGGGAGAGGGAGAGGGGCTCATGAACTGGTCCCAGCAGTACCCTTTAGATCAAGTAAACAAGGGAAGGGACACAAAACAGGGATTTGGTGGAAGTTGTTTGAGATAAAACTAGATCCCTAGATCTCCCTTCTCGCTCCTCTACCTTGACAGTGGAGTTTGAGTACTTAGGACTGTGGGGAAAGAAGGGTCCACCACACTCCGGTGCAGGCTGGCTGGCCAGCACAGCTGAGGGCCACTGCATAGAGGGCGGTCACATGGCTGTGCACATAGAGAACACTGAATGCTTACTCTTGAGACCCCAACCCTCTCTACTCGGCTCCCAGGAGCTCACTGCCTGGCCTTTGCCCTCTATCCTGGAGGCTGGGAGAGGCCTCTCTAGTGATGACCAGTGCAAGAGGAAAGACCTACACCACTGCCCCTGGGATGTCTCCTAAGAAACCCCTGGACCACTTTCCAAGGAAGCCCACCTGTCCACTCAGCACTTTAGGAAGCAGCTCTTTAGCACCTCACTCAGACAAGCCAGCATCACTGAGAAAAGCCTGTAACCTGGGAGAAAGAACTTGAGGAAACATTCTGAAAAGGAACAATCATTTTAAGGTATTACTACGATTCCCAGAGAGACAGGAGGAGAAACGTAGTTTGCCTCCATTACATAAGAATGGGATACTATTGAAAAGAACTATCTAGAGAACAAAAGCAATACCTTAAAATATCAGAATCAAAATCACTGAAGCTCATATTGTAAAATCATTTCTAATTTATGGATTAACAGTCCCATCCTGCCCCCAAAAAAGATGAAAAGAAGCTTGCAAACCACAGACAGTATAACAGGATAAATGTAATTAATGAGGAAATGAAGGGAAGAGAAAAGAAATAAAAGTCCATTAAGTCCCTAGAAAGGTAAGTTGACTGGTCATATTTAAATTTAAAAGCATTAGCTATTATTCTCATTGCCTTAAAATCTCTAATGCTTTTTGTTTGTACTTGGGTAAATCTGCCGATGGAATGTCCCATATGCACATGGCCCCTCTCCTGCCCACCTAGGTCGCCTGCATGTCAATGTTTTCTTATTAGAAATAAAAACTGCCTTTTCTATTCTTTGTGATAGTCACTGTGCCCACAGCAGTACTCTGCACCCAGGTACTTACACCACTTAGAGGTTTTTTCCCCCGTCTCTTCCCACCATTTTAGAGAAAGATAAAGAAAAGAAAGAACAAACTCACATATATATGGGAAGCGTTGGAAGAATATTTGCATGGTGAGCCTAAGAATAATCCCCTTGGGGGGGGGGGGGGAGAACACAACAGAAGGGGCAAATTCCACGGGCTAAGACTGAGATAGAGGAAAAATCTTTTCATGAATTGTGTTGGGTTTGACTCCATTATCTACATTCCATGATCCTAATGTTGAAATGCTAATTTTTCAACACAGGAAGGTGCATTCTAAACCTTTTAGCTAAAGAATATAGTTGTGCTCAGTGGAAAGGAGTGGGCAAGAAGGGGGCTGATAATGAGGGAGGGTAGAGGAGGAGAGGTGGAAGAACGATTAAATAGAAGCAGAAAAAGCACTTCTCCCACGTGGAAAATTTTGATTTTGAAGTTTACTCTCCTATTAACATTTAAATTGAAAGGTATTGCTTGCAACTGTACATGGGAAACCAGGATACATGCATTTAAATAAACACCGCTTAGGGAAGAAAAAATGTGCTCTGTATAGCTTTCTATTTGCTCTTTCAAGACCTTGACACAAAAATGATGACTGGGGTTTAAAAATCACAAGGATGGAAATGGTGAGGGAAAGTATGGGTTAGACTGACGATAAGTCACTGTCCCCATGGCCCCAATGTCAAGAGTGTAGTGTGACCAGTAAGGCCATGGTCATCCTTCCCTGCTGGCCACACAGGGCACCTCTGGGTGAGCTCTCCTTCTGCAGGATGCAGCACATTGCCCGTGGAAGGGTGTCAGCTGCTCTGAGGTCCAGACATTCTATCTCGAATTAGTCAGTTCCTTGAGGTGACCTGTTGCACAGCAACCGTATCTGAAGGAAGTGGGAGTTTGGACTCAACGGATGGGATGGAAGCACAGATTCATGGACTCAGGCTGCCCTTGTTCAAATCCATGCCCGTGTGAACTTGGGCAAGTTAGGCCAGTTTCCACACATGTAAGTGGAGGTTATGACAGCACTTACTTCAAAGGGGATTTTATATCCAGAGGATTAAATCAGTTAATATGTGTAAACTGCTTAAAATAGTACCTGACACAAAGCTTGAGCTATGTAAGTATAAATAGAAATGGAAGTCACGTAAATTGGTTCTCTCTCTCTCTCTCTCTCTCTCTCTCTCTCTCTCTCTCTCTCTCTCTCTCTTTTTCATGTAACACATTCTTTGTATTTGCTGTACATAAGCACATAGGAGCTGAGTAACATGTTGGGGTTAGCTCCTAATTAAGGTTTTGGTGCCCAGGAATCTGTTTGTGTGCCTCTCAGGTATCTGCAGAGGCCAAGGTGAAGGCTCTGTTTTTCTATTTATTAACACTGAGATGCATTCACCCTGAAGTATGGATGCATCTTGTTCTCTGAGGACCAAAACAGCTGGAGGCTACAGCAGCTAATAGCAGAGGTGCCAGTGGCCAGAGAGGCCATTTGAATCCTGGGCTCCTACTGCGAGCATTACACTGATCTGGAAGGAAGAGACACGGGCAAGACTACAAATCTGTTGGGAAGGTTTCCATAATCTAGTTAATTCAAATTAAAACAGAAGTAGCTAGCAGGAGGTACTGCCTGTAATTTTCTTCCAGAGTATGAGTTGGTTCAGTATTGTACTGCAGTTATATTTAAGAAAGTATTTTTTATGTGAAAACAAATCATTCTTACAATTCAATGA